CTTCCATGCACAATATTTTAGTTTTCACTTGTTTCAGTCTCCTCTCCTATCAGCTCTCCGTACAATGTTAATTTTATAGAGTAAGCATTAAGATTTGCTCAAATCAGCCTAATAAATCTGGACCTGAATTAAGAGCTTAGCACCAGTTGACAGTGACTAGAATGGGGTCCCCAGTTCGGTGCCCTCGTGGTGCTTGCTGACACCTTTCCTGGAGCCCACCAAGTGATTTTAGAAACCTGGGTGGGGCCAGGTAGATTTTTGCCTAGCTGGGCTTCTGACTGGCTGTGGAGATTTTTTAAAAAGTTGTTGCCATCACAGCACAAGGATCTTCACGGTGTGACTGAAAATAAGCTGTGTCTTTGCAAGAAAATATTTTAAAACTATGTTAATTTTAAAAGGAACCCTTTTGCCAGAAATGTTGAAGAGTTACTATTAGAGTCATGCATAACCTTACTCCTTGACATTTTTGTGGTAACCATGTTGCATACTTGCCACTATGCGTCAGAGTGCCAACAGTGTCCGCAGGCCCCCAAAGTTTGGGCACCCCTATGCTAGACAGTGGTTTCCTTGAGGCATAATGTGAAAATACTGTGTCAGCTGTGCTTAGATCTCAGTTTACCACAGCAAGGTAAAAGGTAAAGGTTCCCTTGCTCGAAAGCCGGTCGAATCTGACTCTAGGGTTGCGGTGCTCATCTCTGTTTCAAAGCCGAAGAGCCAGCGCTGTCCGAAGACGTTTCTGTGGTCATGTGGCCGGCATGACTAAACCCCAAGGCGCACGGAACGCTGTTACCTTCCCACCAAAGTGGTACCTGTTTATCTACTTGCAATTTCTTGCTTTCGAACTGCTAGGTTGGCAGGAGCTGGAACTAGAGTTGGGAGCTCACTCCATCATGCGGCACCCAGGTCTCGAACTGCTCAACTACTGACCTTCCACAGCCTGCAGTTCAGCGTCTTAACCACTTGAGCCACCGCAGGTCCTTTTACCACAGCAAAAAAGAAAAGAAAAAGTTTTGGAAGCTGAGCCAAACTGTAGCACTGTAAAACATGTCTGTGGAGGATAAACATTTGGGTTTAAGTTATATGGGTGGGACTTGACAAAGCTGCTCTAATACACACCCAGAAGAGATTCAAGTCCCAATGCTCAATGGGTCAGTTCTGATGTAACTCACAATCATGGTTTATTTTAACTATGGTTAGTTTGGGACATCAGCATGACTTAGGGCTTTGTTGGGACAGAAGCAGAAACAGCTTGCTGTGCTGGACAACACCCACCTTTCTATGTTTTCCTGAAACCCTTGGAATCACTCCGTACAGCCAGACAGGCTATCTACCATTTTACTGTTATGGCTTTATGGTTAAACTGTGAAAACTCACATGACTCAGGTCTACACTGGGTTCACTTCTGCAAATACCCATGGTGGAATGATCACCATTAACAAGAAGGTGGTTATTCATAGGAAGTGAAGGCGAAGGCACTGCTTTGAGGGCACTTTGTGACACCAGAACAAAAGTTGCCCCGGAAAATGGCAGCAAACAATGTGTGGGTGTGTTTAATAGGCTTTGTAAAATCCTGGACAAAAAAAATATATGGACTAGCCTCCTCCCCCTTGTACATAAATGCATGTCCAAATCTTTATGGGAGAATCTGGATAATGCTTAGTTACTCAACTGGAATTGGGGGGGGGGGGGCTGTGAAGCTCTGTAATGTAATAGAGGGCTCCAAATGCCAGATTTGAGAAGGTTTGGAGGATTAATACTATTTTCTAGTCCTAGGGTTACCATATTTTGAAAGCACAAAAGAGGACATATTTCCCAACTGACTAATTCAAACAACTGATCACTATGACAAACCTCATTTTAAATACTATTTAAGCTTTGATAATTGGTACTACTAGGAATGTTCCTAACCTTTCAACCCAAAAACAGGACATTTTCATCAGTGTTTTTTTTTTTAAAAGAGTCCCAAAGAGGAAGGACACACACCAAAAAGAGGACATGTCCTCTAAAAAGAGGACATCTGGTAGCCCTAGCTAGTCCCAAATGTTGGACCTTGCAGCTGATTTTGCATGAAGGACCTTTGTTTGTCTTGTTTCAGTTGCCATCCAAGTTAGACAAGGAGGTACTAGAGGTGGGATTCTTATCATTTTTATAACATTTAGATCTTTTAAGAGTGCCACTTAGTACAGGGCACTTACCAAAAAAAAGCAGCCCAGCAAGGCTGATGAGAACAAATCTACATGGTTGTTTGTTTTATTGAATAAACAGTCCAAATCAGAATGTACAAACAAGAGTTCATATTACTTTTTGCAGTGGTTTACAGATTTTAAGGACTGCATACATTGGAACGTTGTTGTATGGGTTTCCACTTTCTCACCTCTCCCCTCCTGCTGCAGCCCAACATGTCTCCTGAAATGCCTGTTCATGGTTAGCAGTGTTTTGGGGAGCACTTAGTACTGCAGTGGGGGGGGGGGAGAGATGCAAAAGTAATGCTCCACAGGCAAAAGTGCTGCCATCCGTGGAAATGCAAGGGTGGACCCAAGCCAAAGTGTGTTCCCTACCCCTGAGGAACTCAAGTCAAAGAACTGAGGACTTGTTCAGTCCTCTATCACTATGTTCATAATTCCTGTTCAAGCAAAGCTTTTTCCAGGCCATGAGGGGCTTCTCCACCATGCTCAAGGATGAAAACCTGGAAACTGTATAGGCTCATTGTGACTCCTTTGAAACACATTTTGAGAAATGGCTTACACCTGTCTTCTGTCTTCTTGGTGCTTGGGGGGGGGGGTCAACAGTGGGAGGGCTTCTAATGTCCTGGCCCCACTTGGTGGACCTCCTGATGGCACTGGTATTTCTGGCCACTGTGTGATACAGAGTGTTGGGCTGGATGGGCCTTTGGCCTGATCCAACATTGGCGTCTCTGATGTTCTTATGTTCCCTGCCACTATCACAATTGTGTCTTTCATTTGAAGATGCTATTGGACTACAGTCTGCTCCTAGTTGTGTGTGGATGACTTTCAGCTGGTGAAGCCTGCTGAAGTGGACAAGGTGCTGATGAGTGAGCAGCTCAAGCCTCGTTTAGCAGTTGATAGTACCTAGCTGGGTTAGGTTCTTCAGTAGGGTTCAAGATGTAATCATCATAGTCCAGAAATCATGAAACCACTCCCTGATGAAGGCATCCCTAGACCCAAATGACCTGAATAATTAGTGTCCAGTGGCCAACATCCCATTGTCAAGCAAGGTGCCTGAACAGATGGTGGCTTTGCGGCTTCTGGAAATCTTGAAGAGATGGATGGTTTCAATCCGGACTGACATGTTTATGAGGGAAATGGGCTGGGTCAACCCAACAATATTCACTGGGAAAAGTGAAATGAGGTGTACATCCCTATTGATCCTGGTGGACCTCCAAGTAGCCCGTGATTTGAAGAGGATAGATAGGTTGGCAGTGTGGGGGGGGCACCATGGCATTTGTGCTTCCATCTCCCAGAGGTCTCCTTTGTCCCCCGTGCCATTTAATATCTCCATGAAACCAGCGAGGAGAGACTGTCCATGGATTTGGAGTCAGATGCCGGCAAAACACAGATGACACCCAGCTCTGTTTCTCATCAATAGCTGGAGAGGTGGGTCTGTGGAAGGTGCCTGGTGAAGGTAATGGGACTGGATAAGGGATGAAGCAGAGCTCGAGCTTTGTATACATTTACTTTTCTGCCGTACTAGGTATAGGTCAAGTATCAGTTTACGTCAAGTATCAGTGCTCCAAAATGATTTCCTTATACCACACTTCTCAGTTTAATAGATAAAGAAGAAACACAGAGAAAAGTAAAAACAGGAGGCAAGAGGAGAGGAGGGAAATAATTTGATTGAGGAGGGAAACAAAGAAGACAAGGAACAAAGCACACACAGAAGAAAACATTTTCCAAAGGCACAAATGTTACAGGGGGGAAATGCTTTCTTTCCCCTTGACTGACACTAGCCTATCTATTCCCACTTCACCCTGTAGAAAAGGTTAAAAATAACTTTTACTTCCATTTACATACTGTTACATATGTAGCAGAAATTTTGTACATGGAAAAGTTTAGATGAATGGCTTTGGAGGAAACCAAACCAAATGAAAGCAGACTTTAAACATTTGCTGCACTTTGGAGTTTCATTTGTCAACAGGGATCTCACGATTTCTGTAGTACTTACTTTGAAACAAGCCAAGATTAGCTTCCCGGAGATTTGATTAATAACTATACTTAGAACAACACATAATACTTACACAGGATCAGAAGAGATTAAACAGAGTGCACATAGGGCTGGATTAAATCAACATGGCACATTTTCTGAGTAGGTAATGTGAAACACATTGAGTAATTTGGGATTGTTTCAGGGTTTTTTATTTTTAAAGAATTGCCTCAGATTGTTGGCTGTTTTAGATTAAGTACTGCAGAACAGGTACAATGATCAGAAAACTAATGGTAGAACTACACAATCACGAAAGTTTATGGAAGAAACAGCTAGAATTATACCACTTCTGAGAGTTTGGTGAAGGGGTTGGCTAAACACACATCTCATGCAAGACTGCAGAAAGTCAGAATCTGCTCCCCCCCCCCTTCATGAGGCAACTAATGGCTGTTATTTTCCATTGAACTCTAGGAAACTAAAAAGGTATGGCTCATTTCTATTCTGCTTTGACCCATGTGCCTCTTTTCAGGTACATTGTGAAATGAAGTTTAAAAAAAGGAACAGTTGGCATGTTCAATGCACTGAACAGGCAAAGTACAAGTGTTGGAAAAGTAAATATAGTTAGCCTAGTGGACAGACCTTGGACCACTACTTGAGTCGATAACTTATTAAATCTCCTTTTTCCTACAATGAACTTTGGTTCCTTACTAAGTTGGTGGCTGATGCAACACAGAGGTTTTGAATCTATAAAAGCCAGGCAAGACAGCTGGGAAACTATGTTCAGGAATTCCAGTAGCTTCTGGGAAACACACTGACCAGGGGAAAGCTATCCAAAGATCATGCAGTACTTGAAAATTGCAGCAGTCGTCTTAGTTTGTTCAGTCCTGCTTTCTCAGGTAAGAACAGAAAGAAGAACTCACTGCTGCATTTGCATTGCGAGTTAGCAAAATGATGGTTTGAGTGTTATTTGTGTGACTTGTTGCATTTCAGTAGTTCTGAGAAATGATTAGCAACTACTGTCTTCCAGTTACTGGAGTATTAAGATACCAAAGAAGGCAAAGATTGCAGCCCTAGCATAACCATTTGAGTAGTTATCCTATATATACAAAAGGCAAACCATGTTGCCCATGACTCACGTTTGACACGTTGCACCTTGGGAGTTATAGTTCTCGGCTGGCCTTACTGCAACCATAGCAAAGGGAATTAGAAAGGGTAAGTAATCAGCCGGTGTTAAAGGGGAAGCAGCTTTGGAATTGAAAGGGGTTGGGGGAAAAAAAATCCTGAATGCATCTCCAGCAGCTGGAGGTCAGTTCAGTGTGCATGACCATGAAAGCTTATACCTAGAATTAAACTTTGTTGGTCTTAAAGGTGCCACTGGACTCAAACTTTGTTCTGGAAATCAGTTGTGCTGGCTTGCAGCAAGCCCCTGGTTCCAACAATGGGCATCAATCTCTGGGGATTTCTGCAGCATTGGGAGAAGGGAGAAGAGCTGCAGATGGTATGGCTGAGTACAGGAGGAAGCATTTGTTTGCTTTCAAAATCGGGGAGGAGGAGAAATCCACCCCTTGCCCACCCTGCAAGCCCGTGTGGTGCCTACAAAATGGAAATAGGTGAGCTGGCCCCAACGTTAGCCCTAATAATTGTGTGTGAGAGAGACACACACTACATCACCCAATCAGTGAATAAATACAATGAGCTCTAGAAAGAGGCTCTGTTGGGGGTGGGGAGGGAGTGAATGCCAAATGTTGGGGGGTGGGGAGACAGCAAGGATGGGGGGGAGCTGGGGCACTCACCCAGAGCCTCTTTCTAGAGCTCGTTGTAATTATTCCCACAATGGGCCTTATCCTAGTTTATTCATAATCGGCAAACTACCTGTCATTACAAGGTACATGTGTGCAAAAGGGTACTCTCAGGGCTTTTTTTTCCTGGGGGAATGTGCCAGAACGGAGTTCCAGAATCTCTTTGACAAAATTCTTTTTAAAATGTTTAAAAGTTCATGAGTTTTTAGCATACAGACTGAAAGCTTCATTTCCTTCTTGAGAGTTCCAGCACCTTTTTTTCAAAACGACAACCAAAAAACAGCCCCAAGTACTTTTATATTTTCAAGACTCCCTTCTGCAAACTGACACAGGTTGCACTCCTTTGCAGAATCTGGGATCTGCTGCAGTGGGTTGGATCCCCGTTTCAGGAGTGGAAGCTGAGTTTTGACCTCAGTATACTCTCAGCCCCATGCACAGCACAGCACTTTTTCCCATATAAGTGACTGGTTATATGGGAGGTTGGGGGGAGGGGAAAGAAGCACTCTAGGCCACAGCTGTAGTGAAGCTTACCCTGTGGATATTAGTTTATTTCCCACTGGCTTAGATAAATTGTACAGAAGCAGTTAAGAATTGGGTGGATCCAACTATTCTCCAAGGAGCCTTCCTGCTATTTCATTGGCTCTTCTGTTTTTATTGGAAACTGTTCAGTGCAGTTGGGAAGAAAGGAGTACGAGCCACCGCAATACTTTCCATACAGAAATACTGTTGAGGGTAGGAGTCTGAAGGCCTTCAAAAGGCTTAATAGCTAAATGTGTCCATAGTATGTGTAATGGCCACATTACACTTGTTTTTCAGACACACTGTGCTGCATTACATCCACAAAGTTCTGTGCTGACGAGGCTTAAGAGAATGACACCTTTCTGGAGAGGAGTCACAAGGCCAGTTGGAGCATCATGCAGGGATGATAGTGAATGCTTCAGTAGACTATGCAGGTAATATCCTCCTCCTTTGAAACAAAGCACCTGTGTTTCATACAGAACAGGGCAGCCAAGCTTCTATTCAGATATGTCTTCTGTGAGAAAACTAGCCTAGTCATCTTGGATATAAAGATGCACTTAATGCCCCTTGAAAAAATTAGTTTGACTTGATTAAAAGTGGCAAGAAAACAGCCGCCCAGGTTAATAGATGTACCAAATCTAGAACACGTTCTTTGTGAAATTTTCTATTCATAAAGTATCCTCATTACCCTCACTATTTTGATTGCTTGCATTACATTTCCCAAATATTTGTCAGATCTCTTATTGGGAAATTAATTAGGCTGAAGACACTAAACACAGTTGGCTTTTACTGACCAGCTGCTAAAAATTTCCTATTACCTACAATCACCATCAAAGCGGGAAAAATACTCATTACAGATTTGCAAATCTAAATATTAAATCCAAGGAACCACCCTGTGACAATGAGACAATGGTGTGTTTATTGCCCTTTCCCAAAGGGAACAATCAGTGCTTTAGGTGAAAGGCTTGTACAAGTTTGCTTTCATATGGTAGTGTTCAATGAAAACTTTCTGTTTGTGGGGGGTACATGTTTAAGAAAATGTAAACTGACTACTATTCTTTTGCAGGAGTAAACGCTGTTCTGTAACAATATCGGAAGAATGATTCTTCACTATGGAAAAGAAAATGCTGTTGCTTTCACTGACAATGTTCCTGTTTATTTATTATTACCGCCTTAGAACCACTGTATATATTTAATGTTTTTTAATTCAAACCTCTGTTTGAACAGATGTATATATACTTGCTAGAAGCTGTTTTAGGTTATACCTCTGTGTGCTTTTAGCTAAGCTGAAATAGCTTAAATTGATCTTCTTTTTTTATACTTTGTATTTCATTTTTTACCAAGACATTAAAGATCTGTTTAAGCAATTATTTTTCTTGTATATAATCAGCCAACTGGAAAAGCCATGTGAAGATGAATTGAAAATGCTTGGACTGCAGCTGGACTATAAGATCTTGACCATTTTGAAGTAATTAAGGGAACAGTATCAGGTTTTGACTGTGTCCCATCTTCTACAAAGCTAGCAGTTTGCAAGGAACCAGCTAATACTGTGAGCCAGCAAGAGCACACACCTCAACACTAACATTGATTGAAAGAGATGAGCAAAGATCATTTATAGCTTTCAGACATTCACTGTGTGGCAGAGTAATGCTGCAATCAGCTTGACAGAATAGTGGAACAGAAACACAAAGTGTGTGTATCCCCCCCACCCCGAACACAGTACTGACCATTCCACCCCTCAGAGTGCATGTTTTCCTGACTAGATTTCCCTATGGGAAAGCCTATTTATAAAGAATTAATTCAAGCACTGCACTTATAAAGTTTAATACAGAAAATCTATTTGATATTTATTAAACTTAGTTTCTCCAGTTACAGTTTTGCATTGTACAAAGCATTTTAATGACACAGTAGTTAAAAAGATCTTTACAAATTGAAATGTGATACCCTTTTCTCCAAATATTTAATTGCCATAAATTTGTTTAAAAATACACATTAAACGCATATTTCAGACACTAAACTTTCTATAATCTCAATACCACAAAATACATAGAATATACTATACAGATGTGGAAAAAAATCTAGTTAGTATATAATACTTTGCTCACCATTAACATACGTGAAATGCACATACTGACTTAGAAATCCTAATTTGGAGCCCCAAAGTACCCTTTTGAAATTTCAAATGTATTGCAAAGGAAAAAAAATCACAGTTTTCTTTTAAGTTTAGTTTTGGTTGAAAACAGATGACTAAATATGTTGGTAAGTTACAAAACATATAAGACATGGACATGTCATGTACAAAGCATACGACAGTGAGCCATCCTGCCAGTCATGATCAGTACCAAGCTGCATGTTCAACATGGTTTTTTTCACTGATAAGTTACAAGTAAAAAAGAACCTCCCCCCATCCCACTTCTAAAGTTTACCCTCCCCTCCAAAAGAAAAGAAAAATCTTCTTTACCAAATAATTTCAAATAAGATAAAGGGATTTTTAATAAATATATAAGCACTTTATCCTCCATATACAAAACTTCTTAAAACCATTTAAAAGGGGAACCAGATACAAATGTCAGCGACTGTGCTCACAGAAGCCAAGTTCTCGGAGATTTTAATGCAACCATTTCAAAACAGAAAGGGAACATTTTTAGTCCAATCTGCCAGAATCCGTTCAGTCAGTTACATTACCAGGTACAAATGTTTTGCCAATGCATTTACAGACAGAAATGAGGAGTGAAGTTACTATTGCCCATTATCTGAGTTAAAACAGTTGGTTCAGATGTCTGCACCCAAATCCTTTCAGCTCAGATGTACTGGCAAGATCTAAAATCTATCATTTGCAGGGGGGTGGGGGGTGGGGAGGCATTTGTATCAATGTCTGAACTTTCCATGATAGTCTCAACCCAGTGAAAATCTTCTAGTGGCCCATCACTGCTACATTAAAGTGACAAACACCCAAGAATAATCCAAAACAATACTCAGTACTGTTAAGCTGTATTTCTCTTTCTTGGAAATTCTCTCAGGAAAGGACAAATTCATAATAGAGATCACTAATAAAAGCTTTGGCTACACTTTGTTGAGATATCCAACATTAACAGTTAATGAAAACCCACAATTTTCTGCAATACTGCTTCCACTTAATTTAAAGTCATTTAGTCCTTGATCCAAATATTTATGAAATATTTGCCATTTAGGACTCTACCAAATAGTTTGGATGTGGTTTACTCCTCTATGGATAAAATGTATTCAAGATTGACTTGCTCAGGTTCATCTAAACCACTTCAGGGGAAAATACTGCAGATTTTACAGTGCAGGGAAAACTATATATACACCAAAAGGTAGTCTTTCCCTTTAGATGCCAAATTTGGCAAACAGTTATCTTCTGAAAGCTGTGTTTTACTTGCACTTGGGCAAGCATTCAGTTACATCCATAGACTCTACACATGCAGTGGCTGATCATAACACACATTACAGGGGTAATTTTGTATAAAATCACAGCATTTAAGCCTCATTGCTCTAGAATAAACTCATAGCACTCCTGCATAATATGAAAAATTTATCACCACCACCAAAATGAGGATGGCTCAGCAGTCAATAAATATATCAATATAGTCAGCTGCACTATAATCTAACACAAGTATAACAAACTTTGGACAGATCAGAGTTCATTCATCTATATATGCATGTAGATATATGTATTAGAAACATGTACATTACAAATTGCATACTACTGTCAAAGATCAAGAGCCATTAGCTCTGCTTTGCAGCCAAGAGATTTAAATCACACTGAACATGTGGGTCATCTCAGTCTGGTACCCTGAATGTTCAATATAAGATACAAAATGAAGTAGCCAAGTGTCTACAAGTCCATGATTCCTTGGGACCTGCCATCAGAATTTTGTTTGAGTTTGGGATGCATGTAATTTCCACTTCACCCCCAACCCACAGATTAAACGTCTGTAGCTTTTTGTGCTGCACTCTTTCACACCCACTGCCAGCAGCCTGGTGGAATGTCCACAAAACTTCACTGGTGGATCTCACACCATGTTCATGATTTGCTCTCCTATGACCCTGCAAGGCTGTTGGAAAATTCAACATTACTTGAATGCCTGAGCAAGCTTAGTCTGACCATTAAGCCATATTTAAAGGCTCACCACTGGGATGAACTACAAACACTGATATGTGTAACACACAATCATTAACCCCCTTATATTTAATAATGCAATGTTTTCAAAATGAAGACAATAGCAAAATTATGACAGTGCTCAAGAGATACGCATATGCATTGCAGCACAATTCTATGTATGTCTACTTGGAAGCAAGCCATATTATGTTCCATGGGGCTTACTCCCAGGTAAGTGCATTATCAGCATTGCAGCCTTAGGTTGTTCACTTGCTTTTGGAAATAAAATTATAAGCTTAGGACAATTTCACTGAAGTATTAAAAAACTTTGGCAAAATATTCATGTACTTCAAGAAAAAGGGACTTCAGAGAACAACATTAGATGGCCTTTTGATATAATTGACTCCAATATAACTGATTAAAAACTACTAGGAAGCAAAAGTACTACTCATTTATTTAGAGCACACAGATAATAGCTCAGGAGGGTACGTATTGGAACAGATAGTGTATGCTGCCTTAGGTCCACAATCAAAGTAGAGAGGAATTGGTAGTATTAAACACATCCATATTAAAAGATTCATCTGGAGAAGCTATTTTCCCTTTAAATGCTAACGTGTGACTATGGACTTGAGTTTTAAAACAGGATTCTTTCAAAACAAAAGGTGGTGGTGGTGGGGAGACAGACGTTCACGCTGACAGTAATAGTAACTGGATACAAAAGCAAGCCAAACCACACTGCAGATCACTGCAGCACTACAAGTAGAGCTTATATAATCCAGCTCTTAAAAGTGTAGACGCTTCAACATGACAGTATGCCAGACACTTCTGAACATTAAGAAAAAAGTAACTACCCAATGAATTTGAGCTAGAATATATGGGCTGTACCCTCCTGGGGTCAAGGTACAGGAAAATACACCTGCTTTAAAACTACTTCAGACATAAAGTCTAGAACTCTCCCAGTCTATGAATGCAGTGAACTGTGTGTCAGGGGAGCAATTAAAAGTTCATGTGGCAGCCTGTGTGCACACACTGACCCTAAAGACCCATTTAAATATAGATATTTGGATTTACTCATCATGGAACACATGAAGTTGCCTTATACTGAGTCAGACCAATGGTCCATCAAGGTCAGTATCGTCTACCTTGACTAGCAGTGGCTCTCCGGGGTCTTAGGCTGAGGTCCAATTCTTTTAATTGGAGATGCCTCGGATTGAACCTGGGACCTTCTGCATGCCAAGCAGATACTCCTCCACTGAGCCACAGCCCCTCCTCTCAGTTTTCAACGAAGCCTTAGACTTCACATAGCAAATGTTTATAGAGTGAACACTCTTTAATTTATGATGCAATGTGCAATATGAAGCTGCCTTATACCTTTGTCCATTTAACAGAGTATTGTCTACTCTGACTGGCAGCAGCTCTCCAGTAAAGAAATGTCTTTCTAGTTTAACTGGAGATGCTATAGACTAAACTTGGAACATTCTGCATGCAAAGCATGTGTCCTACCATAAGCTGTGACCCCTCCTCCTCTTTCTGCACACACAGTCAGAATAGATATGACTTGTTATCGACTGGCTCATGGCATTCTAATGAGTAGAGTGCAACACTAAACAGTAGCGTTGCTAGCCTCCAGATGGGGGCTGGATATCTCCTGGAATTACAACCCATCCCCAGACTACAGAGAGTCTGAAAAAAATGGCAGCTTTGGAGGTTGGACTCTATGGCATTAGCCCCCGCTGAGGTCCTTCCCCTCCTCAAACGCTGTTCTTCCCAGGCTCCACCCCCAAATCTCCAGGAATCCCCCCACTCCAGAATTGGCAATCTTGGTGAATAGTATTAATGATTATGAATACAGACCCAAAGATTGCCGATTTCAAATGAATCTATTTCAAGTTTGGCGGTATGAATTTGTGCATCCCTGGAAGTAAAGAACACATCAGAATACAAGGCCTTGAAGTTACTGTGAGTAATGAAGCTTCTCAACATCCCAAGGACACATCCGCAATATTAATTAATGTAGAATTCTATTCCTTCTTTCAAAGGTCGCCATCATTTTGGCACATTAGCTACACAGCTAGACATAAATTTAGTGCAATCATTTTCTTGAACATGCACGTTCATATCTGGGACAGGATTCGGGGACAAGGGCAGGTAAAGCAGCATTCCACAGTCCCACATTGAAGGGGTTCAGAGTTTGACTCTAAAAGACAACCAAGATGTATTGTCAACGAATGACAGCCACTAGTATTAGGGAAAAGGAAGTGGAATTTTAGTAAAGTACTGAAGGAGACCAACTGGACACAATATACTGGGCCCTACATGTAAAACCTCTTGTAAACAGTACTCAAAATCTTCATCTAAAAAGGCATAAGGCACACCAGACTTGATAGGGACAGTAAGATATTTTTTTTTAACCTCAGACAAGCACCTTCTATGGAAAGGTACTTTGGTTAGAAACCTTAAAGCAGTCACTTAGAATTCCATGCATGATTCTTGCTGATCACAGTTATTTCTTTTTAACATTAATAAACTATTATCTTCAAAAACATTTAACGTTAATGACAATGTAAAAACAATGGGAATAAAGCCAATATTTTAAGTGAACCGGAAAGAACAGTTTACAACCTCCCTGTAATCATAGGCCTACTCTCTACCCCATGTTGCCCACTGCGTACTCATGTTTAAGAGAAGACACAGATCTTAGTCACTGTTCATGTTTTCTGGTTAAGCGCTGGAAATGAGATAAGCATTGGTTCGATGTAAGCATTAAAGTTAGTGGCTTCAGTGTCTAAAAATGACAAGCAAGGAAATAAATAGGCTGCACAAAGCATAAGATTGTCCATTTGAAACAATTTCTAGTCCACACCTGGAGACTGAAGCTCAATGTGACCCACATCACTTTGATATTGCATTAAATGCAACTTCCTGTAATGTTTTGTGATTGTTAGTGTTAAGACATGAGTTTTGAAACTAATTTTCCATACAGCCTTATATTTCATTTCAATGTGATGGCTTAATGTATAGAAGAATATCCTTGAAACTTTTGCACAATAGTGAAACTGTGGCTGTCATTTAGGGGTTGAGTCAGATATTCATGAAAATGTGTCCCTATACTTTAGAATCTATCAACCCTTATTTCTTTTACAATCTCTACCACCACAAGACATTACAGAATAACAAACTTCACAAAATACTTAAATAAAGTGTCTACACTTAATCTCCTCTACGTACTTAATAGGGGAAATTTATAGGAACACACAGCTAAGTCTTTACAGCCCCAAACAGAGCTTTTAAAAACAAATTAAAATAAATAAGTTTTAAACAGATCTGTTAGACATAACCACTAGAATTTCAATCCAATTGTAGATCAATGAATCCATATTATATTAAAATGTTGCAGAGGTTAAAATATTTTAAATATCTTTAAAAGGGGACCACTGGAAAAAAGTTCATATTGACATGATTCGAGTTCTCACACACATGATGCTGGGAGACATATGAAAGCATTCCTTAATCTTGTTTTCCACTAAGCAATGCATTATGGCAGTCTTCCTTATTGTTATGACACAGTGTTGAAAAAAAATCAGAGGCAGCAAGAAAAGTATCTTCTATGTTTAAGATTTCTGCAGTCCAGGTATCACTTGGCATCTGAACGCAACCAATGTAGTCCCTGTCTGGTGTAACGTACTAGCTCTGTCATGAGACTTGCATTAAAGATCAAAGGGCCCATAACTTTATCCAGCTCTGCGAAGAATTCTATGGAGAACCAGAAACAACAGGAATGATACACACATTTCCACATATCTCCTGACAGGAAATTGATAAAGAATTTATGATCGATTGTGCTATGCTGATTTGAGAGGGCTGAAAAATGTTATGACACAAAGAGATTAAGAGCACCTTCTAAAGACACAGAAATTTCTGTACTGCCATTTAAGTTGGCTCATGATATTATTCTTCATTACACATTATTCTTGATTACAAATGTCAAATGCCACATACTGGAAAACTCTCACCACTCAAGGATCAAACCTTAAATTCTGAAGCAATATATTATTAAATATATTGCATTTCATAATCCAGATAGGCAAGCAGTTTGTCTACCCTGTGGTCAATGAGCCACATGTGGAAATTCAGTAATTTCTTTTCCAGCTAAGGGAGGGGAGAGAAGCAACTCTTAGTACTATACATTCTATTTAAATTATTTTTTCTAGCCAAATACAAAAATGCTTCAGACTGCGTAGGGGCAACAAATCCAAATTTAACAGATGCCCAAACAACCTGAGAAACTTTGCTCCAAAGTTACTCTGGGAATCTGGTAATTTTTATAGGGGTGGCTAGAAAAATTTGTTGCAAAATAAACTCTGCACTTTAAAAACAGCAATTTCCAAAAAATATCCAAAACTGGAAAGAAAGGGGGAAAAAAGTCTAAACTTCTGCAGGCTTGACCTTATGCATTAGTTTCAGATATGGGCAAGATTCTTTGGTACTGAGATAGTTTACTGTAATTCATAATTGTGCATGGGGAGGATGTGATGTACATGGGATGTGATGTACATGGGTCTTGAGATCAGAGGATACAGCTGACAGATATAACAAAATGTACAGAACTTGGGTGCAAGGATCTACAGGATCTTCCCCACCCCCCCCCCCCCCAAGCCATTTCTGATCCCAGGAAAGTTTATTCCTGGGTTTAAGGGACTTGTGTTTACTAACTGCACTGGCTGGGCAGATGCAGTGGGTGAGGGAAGAGAGCTAATTCAAATCTTTTCCTTCCATTGGCAGAGCTCCACTCATGCAAAAGGCAAAAAGGGTGATCTCGACTCCTTCCCACTCCCCACAGGTGCAGGTATTAGTACAAATCCCTCAAGCCCAGAAATAAACTCTCTGGGGACTGGAAATAACTGGGGGGATGAGAGGAATAGAAAAGATCCTGGACTGTCAGTACTTCCTGGTGGCGGTTTGCAGGATCCAAACCACTGCAATGCTTGAAAATGAAATTGGGGGGGGGGGAATGTGATGATATATTGAAATATCTAGGTCTACAAATGTGACGAAATCCAGTAGATTGAAAAATAATGCTGTAAAGTCTTACCCTTTTGCTCTCTGGCAAGCTGATCTGCTTGGTCCCAAATTTCAGTGGCATACAGAAAATTAGAAGTAACCTGGACATAGCTGGCTGCCATCTGGTGGATTCTCTGTGGAATAGTCACTGAAGAAGTGCTCCCTGAAGGGTTCGTTGACCCTGAAGAGTAGCTTCCAGAATTCCCCGGAGACAATTTCGGAGAGACTGGAGACGGCATGCTCCCTGGTTTGCTAGTAAGTAAAAACATAAGTACACATCTTGCTTGCTATGTCCTGCATTAACGCAAGGCAGAAAATGTGGTCATAGTTTTTGTTCCAGCATGTGAAAACTGCATCCAGATATTAGTTATGCATATACTGGATACATGCAAGAAACTAAGACAGTAAGGTTCTCCCATTTGTATCCCCATCTACATGATCTGAATTTGTCAGTGGAGCTCTGCTGATGTGATAGAACTTTCTTACCTTACACCCTCCCATGAAGGTTCTCAAAATGCTGCTTGGGGGGAGGGGGGGGCAGGAGACCCTTAGGAACAACAAGGACAGGCAAAGTAGGGACTCAAAATACGAGGGATGAATCGTTATCAAACTTACTCTTTCAAAGGGGTATGTGTGAAATTTATAAATGTTTAGATAATCTCAAACCAGTTCAAATGTGATTACTGCAATACATAAACCCTTACAGAATATGAAGAATGCATAAACCACAGCTTGCTTGGTTTTGTTTTGTTTTTTACTGTCACATGAAACAATATAATCCAATGCTTAATAGATGCTTACCTTCCCATACCAGGTGATGGAGCTTGAGAATTATTATAAGAATTCTGTTTAGGAACAAGAAAATTACAAGTTTTTAATAGACTGCTGAATTGTTTGATAAAACCTGGGGAAAATGATAAAGTCACGAAGTGCTTTAAAGTTGGGGCAAATAAAAAAGGAGGGGGGAAAGTAACAGAAAAGAATGAAGTAGAATCTGGGCAAGACTGAACAATAATTGGAAACTGTCGCTATGAAAACTCGCAACAAGATCTGGTAACTAAGTAGCAACACAGAAAGTGTGCCTAAATACTGGTTAATGTTAGGGTAGTATTAATTTTCCTGCTATTGTTGCCAGCCTAGTACATTGCTGAGCTAGCTTCTTGCACACGCAGTGCGATTGAGTTAGTTGTAGAGAGTCACAGCTCTTATTTTTCCCCCCATAGCTGAAGTATATATCTAGAAAAGGCACATGAAAATGTTACATTATTAGGAAGAAAGCCACACATAAAAAGCTATCTAAATTAATTCTTCTAAAACACCCACCTATCATATTTACACATAAGCTTTCACGGGAAACTCAGGTTTGCAATAATAAAGGTTTCAGAATAAGACTATGAACACAGTATTCAGCAATTATCGTTTACCATCTGAAATACGTATTTAGATTTAATTCCAACTGTATAAATAAAATGCTTCAATGGTCATTCAATGTATGGTATGAAAAAAAATGACATCTGCTGCTTGGGTTTAGTATATCCGGACTAGGGGTGTTCGTTTGGCTAAATCCTAGACGAAAAAATACCCAGAAAATAACTTATCTGTATTTTTCAGGCATTGATTCAGCTGGATATAGATTTTGGATACTGTTTGTCTATCTGAAATGGCCAAGCCACCAAAATCCCAAAAATATTTGCAATTTTTAGGACCGCCAAACAGATGAACTTAAAAGGAATTTAAAGGGCTCATGGTCCCTTTAAACACCTTCTCTAAGCTGTGCAATTTGGAGAAGTCCAAAGGCATTTAAAGAGCTCACAGTCCCTTTTACCACCTTCTGGGTCAACTTGCTGTACTGAGTTCACCCAGAAGGCATTTAAAAGAACTGTCCAACCCATGGAGTTGTGTGGCTGGGAGAAGGCATTTAAAGGGACCACAATCCCTTTAAATACCTTTTCCCCCCTCCACTGAAATCAATGGAGGATGAGGGCACCTTCTTCAGTGTCCCATAGAATTGGGCCCCCTGGTCCAATCTTTTTAAAAATGGGGATGGGGTTCAGGAGAGGCACCAGCAGCTATGCTGTAAATCTGGTGCCTCTACCTCAAACCACAGTCCCCCAGAGCCCCAAATACCTCCAGATTGATTCTCCATTATACTCTATGGCAGGGGTCATGTCGTAGAAAAAGAGGTGCAGGAGCTCATTAGCATAACTTATTTGCATATGCCACACCCCCTGACATCACCGGAAGTGTGTCAGAAGAAAACACCCACCGCTCAGGCTCCACTGTACTGTTTTGGATTGCTAGCTATTGGGGGGGGGGGGGGGGACCAGGTGGATCTGCGTGTG